TTGGGTTGTACGTTTTTACAAGAAGTCTCGGTAGTTGTAAACTGAATACACATTTTAAGCATTTGCTATAATAGTCTACTGAAAAACAATAAATCATTACTTCTACGAATAGATGAACAATTATGAGATGTTTTATGAACAAAATGGTTGAATTCACAGTACTCAGGAAGACAATAGTATCATCTACTCAAGTCAAGGTGCTTCTGCAATTCCTATTTCTAATTCCGAAAAGTCAGATTATCAACACTATGATAACTTTTGAAGTCTTATATAGATATTTGATAGAAAGGAGCAATGAAAATTTCAAAAAAGTAGACACATACCGTGCTGCTGAAAATGAGAACAGCCGTTTTGCTACCACATTCATCAAGTTATCTGAAAGCCCACGCAGATCTAGAATGAGATAGCTTTGTGCGATACGATTGCCCATAGTTGAACCATGAGATATACAAAGAACACTTCGCGACTCCTCTTAACCACAATGCAATTGTATAACAACTTTATTTGCATGTGAAAATTTTAACAACAATGTAGTCGAAATGTTCTTCCAAATAACAAAGCCCACAACTTTTCGCTATCATGATGATGTAGTCCCTTTTCTATGCAACGCTACACATGCTGGACTGCAGAACCGTAGTTCGTTATATTCGAATCCTGATCCCGCATAAGCAACGCCACACTAAATATATAGAATATTCATGCTCACGGAAAAAATTTGAAAGTAGAAGACGTTGGTATAATAACAGTTGATTTGAGAGCATGGGATCAAATCAGTATGCAAAGTATTCACTCAGCTTGATTTACCAACACCGATAGACGGACTTCGATTTGAAAGCATTGTCTCAACAAATTAGGACAATAAAGAATATAAACATTTCAAATACAGCAATGCATCAAAGAAATAATACAATACATCATAGCTCCCGAAATAAAAGTGAATGTGTTGAGTAGTTTCACACAAAAAAACAACACAAACAACAAACCTGTAGACATCTTGTACCACC